CTACCTACAGTATCTTATTCTATTGTATTTTTATTGTATCCAAATACCGAACTGCTATGACGACCTAATTTCCCTTTGGGGATGAATAAAGTAATCTATCTATCTATCTATTTAAAGCAACAGGCATGTTACTGCTAAAGTAATTGTCGTTATGTATAAATACCAGTCCTGAGTTCAGTAGACCAGCCAATGGTTTAGTCTGAACATTTTTAGAGATCCCTGTTCTTTTATAATGCTATTCTAGGTTTGGTATCTGACTACAGGAAGGGGGATGTTCCAGGGTGTTTGTTCCACTACTCCACCCTGTGGTGAAACTCCAGTATTACAGTTAGTTCACAGTGGAGCTTTGCTGCTCAGACCTGTACCAGTCTGCTGATTCAGTGAATAAATGGCTTGTGATGCATAAAGTCTGGCTGGTGTCGTTATTCAACAACAAGTGTCAATCACCTCGTTAAGAGGTTTTATTTTTACAGACATCAGGTAACTTCAGGGTCAAAGACCTGAAGCAGTAAAGTCGGTCTTAGTTTTCCTCTGATGACTAAATTAGAGTTTAAAGTGTTGAATGAACTGACTGATTTTTTATTCTCATGAGAAACAGTAACTTTAGCAGGACTCTGTGTTCTGAATTTTGAATCCGCCATCATGTGATCACAGGACCCGTCAGCCTCATGTTTCCTTACAGCAGATTCTCGTCCATAGAAATGATCAAACTGTACAGATGACATTCATGTAGTGCCATAAAGATTTTATTTACAAAAGTACATCATCAAATTTTCTTTTATACATTCAAGTTCTCTGAAGCAGGAAAAAAGTTTTAAGGCCACTTTCACACCTACATTGTTTGGTCTGGACCTTCAGACCTTTCAGTTTAGTCTGAACCAAAATAAAAGGTGTGAAAGGTGGTTTAATTTAGTTTGATCAAAAGAGGTGGCTTTGGTCCTGATCAAATGGAGCAATGGCTCCTTTTGTTTTCATTGAAAAATATTTTTTAAATTGTTGGTCCTTTAAAAAAGGAAACCTGATGTTTATCTATGTGCAGCGATTAGAGGCAGGACGTTCTGGTCCCAGTTGTCGTCCCAGCGCTGCCCTCTGTTGGTGCGGAGGTTCCTCCTGAACGAACCCAGTCTGCCTTCTGAACTGGGAAACTCTGACAGGAGAGACTGACAAAAAACAAGACAGACAAACATTGCTCATTTAAAAGAAGCTCAAACTCTTAGGGAGGGAGATGGGAGCTGAATCTTTGTATTTCAGTGATTACAAAAACTTTGAAACACCTATTTCTCACCTTGAGCTGCTCAGCGAGCTCCTGCGAGTCAGTGAAGATGAGTCCGTTCTCCTTGTCTTTGACCAGCTCATGTAAACTGAGGAGAACAGCTGAGTTAGCACTGACATGCATGCACAGACGCACACAAAAGGTGAAAACACTAATGGACACGCTGTGGCAGCTGATAATGGGCCATAATTGAACCAAACAACACAATCCAACAATCATTAGTTAAAACAAAGTGTGAGAAAATCATCATCATCATCATCATCATCATCATCATCATCATCATCAGGTGAGCTCACGTCTGCAGCCATTCGCTCTAACGTCTTTGTACTCGTACGTTTATCCATCAAAAGCACCGTTCTCCCTGTGAAGTGCTCACCAGTTGAATTGGATGGCGCAGACGGGCAGACAGCAGCCGAACATGTCCACCACCTTCATGGGCAGATCCAGACCGCTGGACGACTTGTGGAGACAAACGCCCAGGTCTGCTGAACCTGGAGAGAACAGACGCCTGAGTGTGACTGACCAGGCTAAAGTAGTGATACTTTCCTTTTTCATGTCACAAAACTGATTTATTTCATTTTGAGGAATCTGTGTATATATGTTAAAAACATATAAAGTAACTTTTCCCAAATACTGTGTGAAAAAGTGGACAGAGACTGTAGGGGAAATTTACTCCATGGAAAAACTAACACATCGTCCATGACTGCAAGAAACACAGCTGGAAGGAAAGTGGGAGAAATGGATGTTATTCTGAACCAAATAGCGAACAAGACTAAGGAGAACACAAACAGAATTAGTTAGTGAAAACTGAGAGAATGGATGGACTGAAGGAGGCGTAACAACCAAAACAGTTGGTTTGTTCTATAGGATTATTTATGAAATATCAATAAAAACTACAGTTAAACGTGTCCTCAGAGTTTCTGCAGGTTTAAACAGGTCACATTTAACCACAATGAATTACATTTAAGACCTATATATATTTTCATTCATTATATTTTAATGTATTTAACAATGGGTCTTAAATCGTCAGATAAATGTGTGTGTCTGAGAGGTGCTGAACACAAACTGCTTGTTTTAATCTTACCTAATAAAACAGGATAATCTTCTGCCTCCAGCCAGGGAGTGCAGATCTTCACATGCTCTAAATGGAGAGAGTCAATCAGCTTCCTGTAGTGTTCTTTCTGAGGACCTTTACCTGCACAAACACAAACACACATGAATAAAACCAAACCACTCTGACATCAGTGATGGATTGTGAGGCGGCCCGGGCAGCTCACCTGTGATCGCACAGACTAAGGATGGTAACGAAGCTCCGTCTTTAATGAACCCTTCGTACTCTGTAGAGACAAGTGTTTCTGTGATGAAACACGCTGTGACGCATTTCAGGCTCCATGTGTAAGAGCATCAGTTTAAATCCAGTCATACCTTTAAGAGCCTTCAGCAGGACGGAGAAGTCTTCATCCTCTGTGGAAAGAAATAATGTCTTTGATCTTTGACTAAATACAGACAGAATTAAATTCATTCGTTCACTCAAAGTCACCTAGTGTCATACGGATTAGAGCAGTATTAAGTGCTTCACATCTCTGCCTGTTTAAATAGCTTCAAATAACTCATTAAAACCAAACTTATGAGAAACATGAACACTTGAACAAAGATGAGTGTGATAGAAACTACCTATAGTGACAGAAACCATCTTTGAGAAAACATTATTTAAGTTTGGTCCATGCCCCCCATCTGCTAACATGCAGGAGGTGGGTTTATGACCTATACTGCAGCCAGCCACCAGGGCCGTCATGTCACCCATCTCTATTTACAGTCATGGTTAGGTTAATAAAGAAGAATGCTTAAAAAGGAATATATAAAATAAAGTGATTTTAAACTAACAACAATAAAATGAGAGTACCTAGGGTAGGCACAATGTCTATAGTCTAAACATTAATCCTGAGTCCGGCTGAGGAGGCAGGTTGTAAGTTTAAGTTAAAAGATTTCATCTCGTTCAGCTGCTCTTAGATCCTCAGCAGAAACTGATGGAGCGGTTAGAACAGGAGGACCTGAGGAGCCGTGCTGGTTTATGACCTCTTCCTCTGACCTGTCCAGCTGGTGCTGCTGACAAGCAGAGCCGGCCGCTCCTTCCTCAAGGTCACAGAGTCATCAGTGAGATCACGGACTGAGAAGATCGACCTCTCCGCCTCCGACTCCACATCCTCAGAACTGAAAAAACACAACAGGTCAGTCAACATGTTTTACTGCAGATGACCCACACTCAGAAAAACAACATCACGTACAATAATTACTCTGTAGCAGCTTGTTCGTACCTTGTTTGCACTAAATGACGTCAACAATAACATGGCTGCACTCTGTGGCTTTATAATTATATAAACTATTATTATATGTTGAGTGTCTCACAGTAACCGTGACATGTTCATTTGTGTTGTTGACCCACTCACCCTGTGTGCTGAAACTGAGGATAAGTGTTGGCCAGTCTCATGAAGAGCTCGTGCTGCAGCTTCAGTGGAGTCTCTCTGAAGATGGAGGCTGGTTTGTCATAAAGAGTCGTCGCTCTGCAAAGGTCAAAAACCTCTGACATGGTCAGAACCATTACTGAAAAGGCTCGAGAAGTTAAACTGTCGCTACGTGGTTAGAATGTGTTAATGTGCATTAAATCATACTTGATGCCCCAGTTTTTCTGCAGGTCGTCCTTCATGGCGTTGGTAACACACAGGTTGTGAGTGGCCAGAGGGCCGAAGAAGTGCTCATACCTGGAAGAACAGAATAATCATCCAAATGACATCTAAACATATGAGCTGCTTCAGGACGTAGCTGCACTTGACGGCTGGTAGAGGGATGTATTAAGAATTCTCTACCTACAGAAACTGTCTTTCATCCTTCATGACAACATCCAGAGATTTATGAAGATATGAAAACCAGAGTAAACTCCACTGGCCTAGACTTTGTGAGTAAATGATTAGAATTTAACACAACTATGTCATTATTCGTTACTCTGGTGTGTTCTCTCTGTACATGTCTATTATTGTGAGTGTATGTAATCATTAACATGGCCTGAATAACAGATAAAACAAAATAAAGAACTTAAGGATTTGATTGTAAAACTACTGTGGTTTGATAAACAAATAGACCTGAGCTCCACATGGTCAAGATATAAATCATGAGCCACTACAGACGACTTTGACTCGCATTATTTCCACCAAGTTCAGAAAACCACCACCATCATTTGTTCTGTTGCAGTACTGACCACTTTGCCAGTCTGACCACCGGGTGACTCTGTCCCTGACTCAGGGCCATGATGGTGTAGCCGTAGTTGTGCCAGTCGATGATCAATCTGCTGCCGCGAAGGACACACACTAACCAGGCCACTGCGATACTGGGCAGACCAGGGGGATTCTGGGATACAAACAGAGTCATTAGCAATAACAGAGAAACTTCGGCAAGGAATCCCACTGAGTGGATTACTTTAAATTCATATAGGCAGAATAAACAATAGTGTAAAACAAATTCAAGAAATACTCTTCAACTTTTAAACAGGGGCTTGATTTAAATTAGTTCACTGACTTGGAATAGAGAGAACGGACCCTCTTTCATTCCCGTTCCTCACCCTAACTTCTTGTTACTTTGGTGAGAGGGTACGATCTGCTCTGAGAAGTGTGGAATTGACTGAAGCTGCTTTCAGATCTGCACTGAACTCAAGAGAATCTCTGGACATTCTGTGGAGGGGCTGTATGTGAGAACACAATAATGTCGGAATGTCAGAACACAGCAGGATGTATGGAATGGCTGTGCTATACACATATAAGACACGAAGATGTCAAGAGAGTTTGTGTTGATGAGAGGCGACTCTAGCTTTGATGGCGAAAACAAAATCACACCATCTCCACAGCGGAAATAATGCATTACCTCCCGCCTCTGCCTGCTGCACCACGCCTTGTCTGAATCCTGCAGAGAATTTTGTTGCTGTTGTGAACGCACCTGAGCAGAGGAACCCTGAGCTGTGTTGTGCAAGTGTGAATGGAGAAGTGTGAAAGACCAGACACATTTCTCTTGAATTCCTCCACAGGACAGGTCTGAAAACAGCTATAGCGTTGCTTTAAAGTTGAAGTGATGATGATGAGAAACAGTGCTGAAACTAAATATTAACATTTAGTTCTATTGATATCTACTAATTTGTCATGGTTTATCGAATGTTTAAAAAAATAGCAAGGATATCTAAGTGCTAGTGTGTCTAAAAACACAGACACAAAAATGAGAAAAAAACATTTCGGATTTAGATGAATTATCTATTGATTAATCAATCAGGAGAATAAAAGTGCCAAATGATTTACAGTGCATATCTGAAGGGAACTGCACAGAAGAAATAATTTCCGTCAGTGTCTGATCTGCTGCAGGTTCATTAATCTGCAGAAACAGGTTTTTTTTAGAATGAAACAAACCTGCAGGAGAATGTGAGATTGCAGTTCCATCCTCAGCAGCACAGAGAAAAGTTGCAGACACTGAACAATCACCTTCGTCACATACGTGAGGAGCTTTGGTCCCACTGAAAGAACAAAGCAAATATAGGAACAACGCAAAAGAATAAATCAACTGAAAACAGATGTTCAAAAAACAAACTAATCCCCGCTGATGTGGAAACACTTACCTCGAACACCATTCACCTCTGCTATGGGGACTATCCTGATTTTCTCCTCTCTCAGGACGTCCTGGTGAGGTTTAGAGTCTGAAATGAAACAATGTCAGAGAAAGCATCATTCATTTTACACGTCAACTGATAAGGGATGTTTTTAGTCTTTTTCTTTGTTGTCATTTGTATCAAGTTTCAGGTTAAACTGTAAAATATCAGCCTCGACTACATAAAGGTTTGATAACAACATCTTAGAAATTATTAACAATTTTTTTAATACATTTATGGCCACATTTTTTACTCTCTAATATCTGTCACAAAAATCAGGATGAGTCAGTATCTAGTTTGTAAGCTGTCTCACAAAAATTGTTTTAATCGGTATCTGAATTAATGTTTTTATTTATTTTTAATTTAAAAAAGGGATTATCACAGAGTGTTCAGATTTTTACAAGTTAGTTCCCTTTTCTTTCTTCGAAGCCTCAAGCATTAAAGTTTATTTGACCTCATCAAGATATGTTGCAGTTGTTCTCGATTGCCCAAACACTTATGTCCACCCTGACATGCTTTAGATATTCATACTTATTCAAGTCAGAGTCAGAATCCTTTATTGTCAATGTTCAACATTGTCACAACAGTGAAAATTGTTTTCGCAGCTCTTCTTGTTACAGCAGCATTTATCTGACTTTTAGAATCAGTGTATGTTTTCATTTGGTTGAGCTCAATTAAACCAATTAAGTTGTGGGTCTTTGTATGAGATCTACGCTGTGATAAGATGTTGATGATCAAATGGATCTCAGATCTTTAGAAACGACTTCAACTGGATCAGGATCAGTGTGTTTTAACCAACAGAGATAAACTGACTGACACTATCTGTGTGTGTGTGTGTGTGTGTGTGTGTGTGTGTGTGTGTGTGTGTGTGTGTGTGTGTGTGTGTGTTGGACTCTCACCTGAAAACCCGACAAACGTCACATCATATCCATGTCTGCTCAGGGACAGGGTATGATACTGCATACGGGGGCTGCGACCTATGTCCCCCAGCACCAGCGCACACACCCGCCGCTCGCTCCCGGCGTCCCGCTGCCGCAAACCCCGCAGCCACAGCGACACCAACGCGGCTACCACCACGACACACACGAGCGAAGGTGACACGTCCGGCCTTGTGACACAAAACACCGCAAATAGTCCCGCAACCAGCGCAAAGAGCGTCAGACCAGACGAGCCGGTGCAGGGCGACGCCATGTTTGTTTGGAACACGTGATGACGTGTCCCAGGGAAAGGGGAGGAGCTTGAGATTTAAAGGGGCCGTAGACTTGAGCTGTGAGTGCGTCATGAAGCTGTGTGTGAAGGAGGTGAGAGAGGAGAGAGGAGTGAGGAGAGAGGAGTGAGGAGTGAAGAGAGAGGAGAGAGGAGTGAGGAGAGAGGAG